TTAAAAGCACCAATTAAAACAGTATCTCGACAACTGTAAGCGCCTCTTGCTTGTAAGAATATATGACGATCGAAGTATAATGATGGTTTTAATTCTTCCCTTTGCCCCTTTCGAGATTTGAGAGCCTTATTCTTACAACTCCTTCTCCAGTTGTGACATGCTGCTTTAACGAATTCAAGAAGTGGAAKKCCGCTYTGAAGTGGACTAGTCTTGTCATGTTTGGTAAATGTCAATTATTTTGACTCTTTTCCAGGAAGAGAAAAAGGCGTCTACGTGCTTTGGTTCGCTACCGTGTCCCTGACTGTCCACCWGAACTTAACCTTAGCGACGAGGAAGATGAAACGAAGGACGACGATAGACTTCTAACCCTTAATGACAATGACCAAGCACCTCTATTACCTTCAACAGTTGTAGCCTAACATTTTAATACGACCAGCAAACTAGCAGCCGACTTATATTTAACAGTTCTATGGATTCATATATGTCCAGTGCAGGTAGCTTTCTTAAATCCGGCCCAACAGTCATGTACGACGAATTTGAATGGAACGATAGTTGAGTTTCGCGATCTCTTTTACGCTGTGTTAGCCTCAATTGTGTGCTAAAATATTCAGAGATGTAGATAAAACTCGTGAGATTTCAATCTATTCCCATTGTCTTCTATACTCAYGAATCTCTTGCATTTGCACGGGCTGWTGTGAATAAAAGAATTTATTACATGGTTTTGAGGCTAACACAGCGTAAAAGAGATCGCTAAAATTAAAGGGTTTATTGCCCGTTCCGAAATTCAAAAAGTGACTGGTGACTAGTCACAAACTCGATACTGTTTGAAGCAATCAACAAAACAGACACAAGGATAAGAAAGAACATACTAAAATTAGTAAAGCTTCTGAGTTTGAGAGTATTCGGATTAATAATTACAGAGTTTCAAGCGTTCAAAACTCGAAAAAATTACAAAAATGTATGGAGGTCTTGAGCAGCGACCCCAAAAACCATACATTCTCTCTTATTTTTACAAATTTGAAAAAAAATCCTACTCGGTGAGTATTTAAACAAATATGCTCAAACTTGACAAGAACACTTATTTTAGTGTGGTCTTCATGTGGTGAGGTTCAGTTTTCGATGAATGTAATATTTTCACACTCGTTCTCAGTCTCCTTTTGAATTTCGGAATGGCCAACAGTCAACTTTAGATATTTTGGCTCGATGACTATGTACAAAAGAACGMACACGAGGTATAGATCTAATAAACAGCAATAATGTCTAATAAACTTATAGATCGCACTCCATGTACTATAAATTCGATTACATTTATCAAACTCRCTCKTCACTYATATAAATATACAATCTCGTACCCAAAGCCCGCACTTTTGCCATCAAGCGGATGTCAATGCRTKAGAGACTCTGGGGGAATGCGTTATTTCTCGATTYGTGATTGGCTGAAAATGACGCGAGCGCGCATTGTTTTYAAGTCGGTTTTTCAAGTCGCCAGCGCGCGCTCGCCCTGTTAGTCAAGAAAATCATCCTTTTCTCGCATAACCACACGTTTTCACACATTTTTTCTTTAAAAAGGTGTAAATACCTTTTTTTAACTAAGCGGCAAAAACAAAACTGACCTAATTTGCATAATTTCCGACGGAAAACTCCTCCAGAGCCTTTCCGGCGTCAACATACCGCTAACATTAGCCGTGAAGACTCTGGGCTCGAGATTGATAAATATATAAAGAGCAAGTTCAGGCAAAAATCTCGAAAACAGGCTCGTAAATTTATTGTTATTAAAGTTATTGTCTTTGTAAGTAACAAAATACGTTACCATTAGCACTTTTAATAATATATTATTACACTCGACTATGTTGTATGTACATTATAAGGAATCACTGTTCCAAACTGACCTACAAAAGCCAACCCGTAAGTTGCCCCACCAAAATGATGGAAAATCGATCATTTTTGACCAAAATGCATGGACTATAGCCCACCAAAATGATGGAAAATCG